CACTGCTAAATTAGGGACGGCTAGCGCAGACAGCCCTCGTGTAGCTTTGCGCGAAATTCAAAAAACATTATCTACTTATACATATAGCAACTTTAACTCATAGTGATAGTAGAGATAATATGTCATATTTTAAATTAGCATTCTCATTTTAGATTAAAATTCAAACACACTCTTACTTCTACCTTTTTCCTACTGGGCAATTTGGGCAAAAACTTTGACTAAATATGGTTGATCAAGTTAAATATAGACTCGAACCAAGGAAGTACATTTGGCTGTAGCTGATTATACCAGGATTTTCATTACAAAGAGGTTAAAAAGCTATCTGCACTCTGTCCATCGCGGGGAATCGAACCATGAATTTTAAGCTTGTAAAACTGTAAACTCATCGCCTACGTACTGGGGGACCTTATGAAAGCTATGGATGGGTGTCAAAGATTTTATATTACGTAAATTTATACATTTATTCTATACGAATGTAAATTTACGTGGTTTGTGAGATCATTTTAATACGACCAGGTGAATGAAAGTTATGAATGTTTATGAAATGTTCTTGTTACTGAATGAAGAAGTAATGTTAGGGTTAAGGTTACTTTTTTCAAAGTATGCGAAATAAAATCAATAGTAAAACCTTTTCAGCAATAAAACCAAATTCATAAAGGTATATTATCAAGGGGCTGAAAATATTTAAATGAAAGTTAGTCCTACGTCTTTAATAAGGTATCATTGTGATTCTTTGTTTAAAAGCAATGACAATATTTCGCCCATTAAAACGCTTGATTATCTCAACTATTACAAAATCTAGGTAATTATAGACTTGCATACAACTGTAACAACAACTGTTTAATATATTCAAAATTCCTCTCATTTTAAGCCTACATTTTAAATCAAAGTAAACATTTTTTTGTATTTAAATCTTTATTAAACTTGAGGAAGGTATCAGTATTCATCCCTGATGAAAAGAAGTCTGATCTTCTATGTGCTTGGATTAATGGGTTTCTCGTGACTTGCCCCCCCCCCCATGTAACCCATTGTGTATCTTTGTGCTTTATAAGAAGCAAACAACTTCTCGTAACTTAAACTTTTGTGACACTAATCACCTTTCAAATATTATTATTTTCTAAGCATAATTTCATATTTATGCTACCTCAAATAGATTTACATATCTTTTCAAGGTTTGTTTCCGGTGATAAGGTCAGACGTTTGGCATCGTTGTCTCCAGAAGAAAGGAAGCAACTTATTGCCAGAAGTTACAGCAAAGTTTTAAAATCACCAGAAGCTTTGCAGGTACTTAAATTTCATTTATAATGTACTCTTATAACCAGTTACTATTCCACAGCGTTTTGTGGAATCATAACTTACATATGAATGTTTTGATAAGTTGTTAAGTTGAAAACCAAATGTTACCATGTTACTTATAGTTCATTTGTAATTTTAGTAAGGCTGCAACTGCTTTATAATCGTAAAGCTGTTATTATCATTATTGTTTTCTTCTAGGTGTAAGCTATAGAATAATGACGCCTGTATAGATATTTTTTCAAATTTATGCGCATTTAAATTGTATCTACGAAACTATGACTAAAATTGGCTATCAAAATAACAGTCACATCAAAAGGGGTTTTTCCTTGATTAAAGGAACTGTCATTATAAATTATTTTTAATCCAAAAATATAGTAATTGTGTTTAAGGAAACTGAGTAACCTTTAACAAATACAGTTTATGTTCACTTAACAAAAATTAATGTTAAAACGAACATCTGTATGTATGAAATTGTACATGTATAGAGGGTACTTCAGTAAGAATTCCAGATTCTTGATGGCATTTTTCACTACAAGACCATCTATGTGCATTTTATCTAAACATAATAATTGATTCAACATCCAAAAACTTCTAAAATGTAGTGAATTTCTAAATGTAAAAAAGGGGATCCTCTATGGAAAACCACATGAAATAGCATCGGAGTGGGAAATCACAATTCTCTCCAATCTGGTGCAATTAAATGAGCTTCAGGTTAAAGCTACTGGCTGCTAATGAACCTGGCATGGCCTGAGGGTTTCGACATTCGACTTATAATCTGCGGGTTCGAATCCCATCACCAACATGCTCGTACTTTCAGTCGTGGGGGCATTATAGTGTGACTTTTCGTTTGGAGAAGCCCAAGAGTTGGCGGTGTTGACCAAATGCCTTTCCTCTAGTCTATCATCTCTAAATTGGAAACGGCTAGCGCAGATAGCTCTCGAGGGGCTTAGAGCGACAAACAAGTAGACAAGGGCTACGAAAAAGAACAGTGCGGGAACTGAAACATCATTTTACAGAGAGCGAATTACATTACTAAAAACTTTTCTTACTGGAAACCCATAATTCAAGTGAATTAATGGTCTTATTATGGTGTAATATCACACACACATATATATATATATTATTTCCCAATGTTATGTTTTCCCAGGCAAGACATTTGACACGATAAGACTTTTTGTCTCACAAACGACTGATATAAATAGTGTTTCAAGTGAAGTTTTTATGTTGTAACTCAGACTCTTTGAAATGCCCTGGTGTTAAAAGTAGAATACTTCATCAGCATCAGGTTTAGAAGAAATGTTATTATATACACTCCTTTTAATGAAAATAAGAACTGAACCAGTAAAAATAGATTGTTTTTCAATCATTATCAGTCTTATTGTGATGGAATAATAATCAAATATACTGTGCTTTTGTTTTAACTCTGTCAAACTAACTCTTAGAAATCATGATTTTTCAGCCTATTCATTATGAGGAATTTAACTGGATGGGAGAACAGTACTCAGGTGGATGTTATACGGGTACATGTCCTCCTGGTTTCTTGACTTGTTATGGAAGGTAAAAAAAATAAAAATATGTTTTATTTCATCAAATTAATTACTTACAAAAATTGTCTATTAGATATTTCTTGAATTTGATTTCTAAAATTGTAAAGTAGGTCATGGGTGTTAAAAACAAAATGTGTGAATTTAAAAACAATTCCGGGATCCCAGAACGTCATTTGAATTTCAGGAGAATACATTACTAAGAAGGTATTTGAGACAAGCGAAAGTACCCGGCTTCGCTCGGGTTATTAGATTGATATATTCTAGATGACTATGTTAATTTTTGTTATCTGAACTCATTTTAGCATAAAAGTATAACCTATATACTTCTGTTGCTAAACAACATGACATAAAAGACATGGTTGGAACGCATTGTTACCAAAACGCACTGGCTTTTCTATATATTAAAATGTTATATATATATTATAAAATACAACTTATATTCTATGTGGTTTTTCGCTAGCTTGCCTCATTAAAACGATGCGCAGGTCCCTCAGGGTCCACTCAGGTTTCTAGGTTCTAGAGCTATGGCGGTCACACACACGGATACGGTCTTTTATTATTATAGATGTTGAATACATTGCCTAAACTTGTCATAAAACCTCATACACGAGTATTTTAAAACTATACTTGTTGATGTAATGAGTGATCTCTATATCAGGTGTATACGTTTAAAAATCATTTAATCGATTAATAAAGTGAGTTATTTATCTAGACTAGTTTTGAAGAATGAGTTTTCAATGAGCTGAAAGCAAGATTGCTCGATATAAACAAAGAAAAAAGCTGTCTGCTTCTGACTACACCAAATATAAATACATGGCCAGGTGGTTAGGGGGCGCTCGACTCGCAATCTGCGGGTCGCGAGTTCGAATCCCCGTCCCACCAAACATGCTCGCCCTTTCAGCCGTGGAGGCGTTATAATGTGGCGGTCAATCCCACTATTCGTTAATAAAAGAATAGCCCAAGAATTG